CTGCTGCATTCCTCAAAGGGAAAGATTCCAGCTTCTCCCACTGCCCACCAAGCAATTTTCAACACAAAAGTGGAAATGTACCACAGGTACTTGACCTCTGATATTCTTAAACACCAGAACTGCCACTGACCATCCCCAAAAGAGACCAATCTGTCTGGCTGAATTGAAAACATTTAGCAATTTCAAAAATATTCAGCTATTACCGACCTTGATTTCCAAGACAAGGAATTTCCAGCAAATCAGCCTAGAGACACCCTAAAGTTTCCACAATTAACTGTGCAATTAACAGGTAAGGCAATTAACAGGTAATGTAAAGATCCTCCTCCTACCTCATGTCATAAGGACACGTGCTGTTAATTGAGCATAATTGATTTTAATTTTTTTTCAGTATTCCAGGTATTTCTAGATTACCTGAAAATCACTTCAGGTTCTAGTCACAATTCAATGTTTTCCTTGATTATAAAACATTCAGCTGGACTAAACAACTTTAGATGCTTCCTTTCCTTTAACTAAAAGCTCTTGGATTTTCTGCTCCAAAAGGAGGAGTTCTGAATGGACCACACAAAAATTACAACACATTTGTTACTACTCTTTGCAATCAACCCTGCAGGGAAGTTACTGCCCCAGAGTGCCTGACAAAGGAGAAGCTGGGCTGCAATGCAGTGCAACACAGGAAAAAGTCAAAGAAATCACTTTTGTTACAGGCAGTTCCTTCTCAGTTACCTGCTCCTGGGGCTCTGATCCCAATCCCCACCCTAAACCAGCCCTGATGCAGCCTCCACTTCCCCTGAATGACTCAAATGCACAATCTCACCTCAAAACACAGACATCTTATCAGGCTTTATTTACAGTGACGTTAGATGATTTTACCTTATAAAAGTGTGATGTCACAGAGTTACAGATGCACATAAGAGCATGATTCAGAAAATGTGGCCCAGCTGAGGACTCAAGGCAAAGCTCAGAAAGGCTCAGAGGTAAAGAATGCAAGCCAAAAGAACTTTGGGGGCCATTCTACCACCTTTTGTAGTTTTCTTAATTTTTTCATTAACAGCACTACAGCTGTCAACAAAGGAAATAAAAGTTTCACTGCTCTAATGTTGCATTTACACTGATGAGAAATTTTTTGAAGAAACTTTAGACTGAACTTCTGTGCGAACAGAATGTACACATGTCCAAAATAGCTTTAAAAACACTTTTATTGTTTAGTATCAATGGTCTTTACAGAAAAGGCAGATTTTTCTGGAATCTGCATTGAGTTTCATTTGGTAATCAGAGACACACAACACAATAAAGCCTTGATAAAAGCAACTCCACAGTTAAGTCACTTGATACACCAAGAAAACACAATATTCTACAGACAAAACCTTTGCATTTTCATTTTGGGAAATAAAGACATTGCTATCCTTCCTATTAGAAAAATAATCCCTTATCAAAAAAATAAACCCTTATCAGCATCTCAGGCTTTGCTTCTCCTTGATATTAGCATAAACAGGCCTTGTTTCTTAGAAATGTGATAAACACCTTCAGCCTTCAAATTCCCAAAAAAACACTGAGCCAAAACATTTTGTTGAATCAGAGTTTTTCACTCTTTTCCTTGACTGTTGAAATAGCCAATACTGTTGCATTTTTTAGGAATTCTTCCTTTTTAAAAGCCTAGGATATGCAAATCCTGCCCTTTGACCTTGTAGCTGAGGAAAGACCATATTTAGCCTCAGTGTGCATGTGAGTCAAACATGTTATTCATGCACAGGATTATTCAAGAGGTCTAATGTTTGAATCACTATGGGTCAGAAAACTGCCTGCACAGAGTACTCCTTTCTAGGTGAACCTCCTTTAAATCTTTCATCAGCTGCATTTACTCTTCCTAAATTATTCAGTTCCTTGTGTGGTTTGGGTTCCACAGAAAAGCCCAGATCTGGGAGTCCTCCCACTGGGAATGGACAGTTTGTGCAGGCAGCTGTCACTGCAGGAGCTGCAACATTGAACTTGTGAAAAAGCTTTTTGTTGAGACAAACGTTCAAGCACAGTAACACAAAAAAAAAAAAAAAAAAAGAAGAGCCCAAACTGTACAGTTCTACAAAACACTTTGCATTACTGCAGCAACACTCCCAAGCTTTATGTGAATAATTAAGGATTAAAGATTGAGGAAGTGGCCTCAGAGGCATCATCCTGAAAAGCACAAATGTAGGGCAGGCAGAAAACCCCATAGCAGTGTGAAGACAAAAAAAAAAAAAAAAAAAAAAAAATCAAACAAACAAAAAAAAAAAAAGGCAGAAAACCCCATAGCAGTGTGAAGACAAAAAAAAAAAAAAACAAAAAAAAAAAAAAAAAACCCAAACAAACAAACAAAAAAAAAAAACCAAGATCAACTCTTTTCTAAAAAAAGCCACGATGAGTCTTGGAGCTAATATGAATATGCATTAAATGCTCCCAAGCTGCTTCCCCTACATTACATGGATTTGTTCCTGACAAGATCCTGAGTTAAAAACACCCAGGGCTCACTAAAACTTGCTGGGTGTGACACCAACATCCTAAACCGGAATGCAAGGTTACCCCACGCTGTTACTTTAGGGCAAGTTCTTCAGCCCTGGATTCCAGCTAACAGGTCTGAAATCAAAGAGCTCCTAATTACCCATGACAAACTTATTTGCAAACAGCTTGGCAGACGCACCGATACCGATCCACCTCTAGGAGCACCGTGGGAGGATGCTGATGACATCTTTGAAAGGCTAATTGCATCTGCCAGGAGCTTGAGATCATCTCCAGCCCTTTGCTCCACTGCCACCCTTTTCCAGAAGGTGAAATCAAAGAATGCTGAGCTCGTTTGCATCCAAAGTGCTTCTCGCTCTTCACAAACGCGAATTGCAAATAAAGCTGGGCAAGGATTTTGCCAAAATGTTTACAGAGTAACAGAAAATAAAGCTAAAATGATACTGGGAATTCATCTTCCACCAGGATCACACATACCTGTATCAGCTCGATGGCCAGAATTGTCCTGAGTCAGGATACTAGTCTGATACTTTTAGTCTAGAAACATGTAACAAAGGATGTTCCTAGCTTGCAAAAGTTTTACTTCCCAGAGATTGCAAAACTAAGCTTGCCAAAAAGACAGAGAGCACTATCGACATCCACACAGCAAGAGGATTCAACTGGGCAATGACGGTCATCACGATAAAGCACGATCTCAGCACAGCAGCAGCACCAACTGTCAAGAGCTGCTCAAAAATAACACAAAGAAACCAAAGAACCCTGAGAGTTTTAACGAATTTTTTGAAAGATCGTGAGATATGTGTCTGAAAGATTACAGGCTGCTCATACCGAGAGTCAGAGACATCACAGAACACTGAAAAATCACAAGCAGGGGACGGAAAAAACCAGCAGCTGGAAGCATCACGCTCAGCGGGCAGGCTCTGCCCGAGAGAGGGGAGGCACAGCCCGAGTCAGACACTTCCCTTCCCCTGGGCACCGCCAGCCCCTCGGGCACGGCTGACACAAAGTCACTCAGCGCCTGCCCGTGCCCGGTACAGCCCCGGAGCCGGGCACGGCCCCCGGCCCCGGGCACACCCGAGCTCCTCACGGCGTCCCGGGGAACCGCTCCGGCCCCGAGCTCCTCAGGGCGGCTGCCCCAGCCTGAAGTGACCCCCAGAGAGCCCCTCCGAGCCGACCCTCCCACGCTCCCCCACATCTGCCCCGAGGCACCGACCCTCACGGATCCCCTCAGAGCCGACCCCCACACGCCCCCTCAGAGCTGCCCCGGCCGCCCACGGCGCTCGGTGCGAGACCCGGTCGCTGCGAGGCACGGCCACCACAGCGCTGGGCAGCCCGTAGCGAAGGAGGGGGAGGTTTGCGGAGCAGGGGGAAGAGCAGCGCGGGGCCCGTTACCTGCGCCGGTGTCGAAGCGCGGCCGCCCGGCCCCGCCGCCGCCACAGGCCCCGCGCGCGCCACTTCCGGGTGGGGGGGGCCGGGGCGCGCCCATTCAGCGCCGCTCTGGCTGCGCGCATGCGCCGCCCCGCGGCAGGGCCGGGGCCGGGGGCGCGGAGCCGCTGCACGGCCTGAGGGGAGCGGGGGGGATGCGGCGGGCGGGGATCGGGAGACCCGGGTTCGAGCCCCGAGCCCTCTTCTCTCCCCGCCGCGGGTGGGCGGCGGCAGCCAGGTGCTGTCTGTTTGTCTGTCTGAGGCAGCGAGGGTGGATTCTTGTCAAAATCGAAGAACCCCGTAGTGCTGCTTGGCCGGGGACGACCCCACCCGCTGCTGCGGGGCTTGTGGGGTGGCTGGTGCTCGGTGTGTCAGAGCACTGGGGCACAGTGGTTCACAGATCACAGAACTGCTTGGGTTGGAAGGGACCTCCGGAGATCACGCAGTCCTGTCTCCAGCTGGAGCAGATGACACAGGAACGCGTCTCTCCAGAGAAGGAAACTCCACATCCTCCCTGGACAGCTGTTCCAGTCCTTGGCCACCCACAACCTAAAGAAATTCTTCCTCGTGTTGATGGGCTTGTCTTGTGTTTTAGTTTGTGCCCATTACTCCTTGTCCTGTCACTGGGCACCACTGAGCAGTAGCACCATCCTCTGGAGCTATTTATACATTTATATAGGATTGACGGGATCCTCTCTCAGCCCTCTCTTCTCTAGACTAACCACGCCCAGCTCCCACAGTCTCTCCTCATCACAGAGATGCTCCGACCCATCATCATCTCTGTGGCCTCTGCTGGCTTCTCTCCAGTAGCCCCTTATCTTTGTTGTACTGAGGAGCCCAGAACAGACTTCACCAGCTAAAGCTACCTCCCACCAAAGGCCTGAGACAAGGAGCACTTTTAGGTGCTAAGCCGTGCTGCAGGAGTAGCCAGCCCCTCCTTTATCTCTTTATTTAAACGCAGCGCAGCCCCCGGGGCTGAGCCCCCGGACCCGGGCTCGTTTCGTCCCTCCCCGCCGCCAGGGGGAGCGCTGCCACGCCCTCACCGCTCCCGCCTCGGCGCGCGCATGCGCGGTGATTCAAACGCGATGGCGGCCACGGCCGCTCTGGGCTGAGGGGAAGCGACCCCTGCCCGGCCCCTCGTCCGCCCGCCGCTGCCTCGGCACGATGTCCTCGGAAGGGAACGCCACGGCGGCGGCCAAACCAACGCCTAAAGCTAAGCGGAGAGGTAGCGTGGGGTAAGGGCGGACCCGCGCTGGCTGAGGCGGGAGCCCGGCCTGGCCCGGCCCGGCCGAGGGGGAATCCGAGCTGAGGCGGGAAGCCCCGCGGTGGGCCCGGCTGAGCTCTTTGCTCTCTTTCAGGAGGAAGAATCGTGCAGTCTCGCTACCTGCAGTTCGATAAGAAACATAACAAGGAGGTGCCGAGAGTGCCGAGCTCAGGCGTCGCTCAGCGAAAGGCAGAAAAGGTGTGAGAGGCGGCTTGGACGTGTGGCAGCGAGGGGAAAAAAAAACAAAAAAAAAAAACCCAAAAAAAACCAAAAATAAACAAAACGGGGGGAAAGCGCCTCTGCTGGGGTTATGAGGGAGTTGTGGTGTGCTGCTAGGTGGGAGCTTGGGACTGTACTCAGGTGACTTGCAAAGCAGCAAGGTGCCCTGGGATTTAGTTGTGTATTGTCAGCATTTAAGTTGAAGGTAAGATTTTGCGGATTATGTTCTGTCTTAGCTGTTTCTTTCTTTTCAGAATGCTTCGTCAAGTTCCTCTTCATCAAATAGTTCTCTGCCATCTTCTAGAATTAAAGCAAGATCGTTTGTCTCTCAGAAACACGAAACTTCTGCTAGTAGGTTTTACCAGTGTTTAAGTTATTCTTTTGTATTTCCAGCCTGTGGAACTCTTAACAGCTCTAAGATATTGATGTTTTGTATTACTTGCATCACTGGCAGCTATTATTTGTATGCAAAGGAAATTAAGAAACTTGATGTGGGACTAAGACAAATCAGGTCCTGGCTCTGGAATGGAGTGATTGGGTCTTTCCTGCCTTCTGCAAAAGGTTTTGAACAGTTCTTTTCCTATGCCCTTACCATTACTCTGCTTTTTTAATTTGATCTTTCTGTTAAACCAAATGTGACTGAAAATCTATCTGCAAAACTGTCCATTTTTATTTCTTTTGTTACTACCAATGGTTCCTGTCTGGTATTACTGATAGTCCTTGGTTGTCTCCACAGATATCCAGTTATTGAGACAAATTATTCCCTTGTTTTCTGTGAATTGGGACCTCAAAGGCTCTCACTTTCTGGGGATGTTAGAGAGTGAGCTTTACCCATAATAATTTTCCATTCTTGCTGCAATTCTAGTTGGTAACTTTCTCTGGAGCTTCAAGAAAAATAAGTTTTTAAGGCTGTTTATTAGAAAACAGGTGCTCATTAGACATTGTTGGGAGGAGAAAGTGTTTCTGATGAGCTCAAGAGGAGCCTTGTCCAGGTGCAGCTCACAAGCCCGAGGTCTAAGGGGCATTTCTCAGGTCAGAGTGGGGTGTGAGGGGAGGGATGGAACCAGATCAGCTTCCCTGGGCTCTGCAGCCTGGAATTGTGAACTTGTGCTGAGCCTCCTGCTTCTAGTTCTAATTCTCCTAGTCTGACAACAGCTTCTTTCTGCAGGTGTGGACCTCAGCTCATTGAATCAGGCTGCTTTGGAGAAGGGTGACTTGCAGTCCACTTTATTAGATGAAGGGAAAATGAAGCTACCAGACCTTGATATTTCTGTTATTAACGGTAAATTTCCATTCATATGCCACTGTTGTACTCTTGTATATTCACAAAAGGATTTTAAGCAGAGGTACTAATACCTTTGGAGTTTAAATTAAGCTCTTGATTTGTGGTATCTTTTGGGTGCTCTGTTTTTATTTAAAGTCAAAAAGTAAAGAATAAAGTCAAAGATTAAAGGATAAAATACTCTTGAGTTTTTGTTCCTATAACAGGTGGGTGTCAGCCCTTCTGAAAAGTGGATCGCATTTGTTTGTCACTTAAAGCTACATGATCCATATCTGCTCCTGAGTATATCAGAGCCAGAAACAGAGCACAGATCTTTTTTACTGGTGCACACAATAATTTTGAAATGTTCTCTGCCTTTAAAGAACCTGGTGGTCTATTGACCCACCCTATAGACCTTAACAGAAGAGCAGCACATGGACTTTGTTGTGATACAGATAATAAAAGTGACTCCAAGAAGAGTTCTTATTCAGAATCTGCTTCAGAAGAAGATTCAGAGACACAGGAAATAAGTGAAGAGACTGATGAGGTGAGTCTCACTGCTTATGTTGGTAAGGATATTTATTTTGGAATGAAGATTTTCTGTTTGTCTTTAATCTGAATTACAGCTGAGGTCCTGGGAGGATCTAAAGCCTCCTTGCAGGAGTCAGTGCTGACAGTGTTTGGTGTGTTGATCAGATACCTAGACACTGACCAGAGCTTTCCTTCTCTTGTGGCAAAGAATCTGTTCCAATTATTGCATCTCCTCAGGTGGATTCCTCTTGCGTTCCTGCCCATACTCTTTAATTATATCACGTTACCTTTAAGTATTTCCTGGCATTTTTGTTCTGAGAACAAACACTGATTCAATCTAATATAAAGGGCCTTATTTGGAGATCTCATTCAGTGTAGCACTGGAACTTCAAATTCTCTACCAGAATTATGAAAATCTGCTGAAAATATTATAAAAGATGCTGGAACAAATATTTGTGTTTAATTAACACGAGTGTATAAAAAACAAACTTCTGTCATTGAGCTGCTTCTTGGCAGTGATGATTCCAGGCATGAACTGGACTATTGGTAATTCATTTGGTAATTATTTTGACCACTGAAATGCCAATTGTTTAAATACCAGACTTGATATAGAATATTCTCTTCTTTTCTGCAGGAAGGTGATTCTTGTGATCTGATGGCAGAGCTGGAATCTGAGACACTACTTTTAACTTTCCTAAGAATAAAGGTGAGAGTTGGTCAAATATTTGATGTTTCAGATAGAACTTGATATTGAGGAATTGTTTAATTTCTTAAATGCTTCCTGACCTGTAAAAGTTGGATTATTGTGACTGTATATGTATATATATAATTTGTAAAACCATGAGCTATGACAACTCTTAGAGTGGATTCAGTGACAGTTTACTAAGCTAGTGCTGGTTCTTAGGAATTGGGGGGATGCAGAAGTTTTGGGAAAACTGAGTCTGTGTGGAGTTGAAGTTTGTGGCAGTGACTTTGTTCCCTCAGTGCTCTGTGTATTTTCCTTTAAAAAAGAAGCAGGGGTGGGGCAAGATTCTTGAGAGGGTCTTTAACCCTGATTTTGTTTGCTTACTGTGTGGGGTCTCCTCTTCATTAATTGAAACTCTTTGGTTTGGTCTGAGGTTTGCATTGCTTTAATTGTGAATATTTTTGGGATGTAATAGACAGAAAAAAAGATTGCCAAGATGGAGGAAAAAGCTGAAAAAAACTTGCTAAAGTTGTGTGAAGAGAAGCGGAAAGAACAGGAGAAGCTCTGGGAGCTGAAACGTGAAATTCTGCTCAAGGAGAGAGAGCAGAAGCTCAATGAAACATTAGACAAACAGGTAAGTTTTAATTAATGCTTCTCTGATAGTTACACAAATTCATTTATGAAGTAGTCCTTTATCCAGGGGAGATTTCTCTGTTTCTGTGGCCTGCAGGGATACAATTTTATACATCTTAAAGGAAATAAATATCCCCTTCCTGTTGAGGTCTGCAGCACCTTTGTTACTGTTGAGTTCCCTGGTGGACAGGCAGGAAGGAGAAGCTGGAGCTCTTGGGCAAAGGCAGAGATTGCAGTGGCTGCCAGGGGAGGGTCTGGGTGATGCCCAGGAGGTGAAAGTACCCAAAACCACACAACATCCCACACTTGGGCAACTCCAGGTATGGTCAGAGCTGAGATGCCCCCGCTTAGAGAGAAGTGAACATCTTTATTTGCCTTGTTTGTATGTGTTAGCCACAAGTAGTTCTGTCCTCATTGTAAGAAGACAGGTTTCTAATGAATAATTAATGTTTGAATAATGAATTTTCAAAACTGAATCTCTTTGCTTTTTAACAAATACACATTGCAGAAATTGAACAAGGCTTTTGGAGAACACACTTGTTAATTACAGACAAAGGATCTGATATAAAACCTTTTGCTGTGTTGCCAATATCTCTGAGCTACAGGAACAAGAGAACTGGTACTGAGGACAGAGAGGAAAACATAATCAACAGTTTGATAGGATTATTGTACCACAGACTTCTTGAATTCCTCTGTCAATAAGCATTTCAGCGTGGTATTTGGTTTTATCATAAAGTATTTTTTGTATTGAGCCAGGTGTGTAATTACAGAAGATGTGCTTTTGGAGAGGTGTTGTTCAGTGTGTCTCTTTCAGATAGAAGTGCTGTCTCCCCTCGTTGCTGTCTGTGAACAGTTTAAAGAGCAGTACAAAAGCTTTGCAGCTTCCCTGGATGCTACGAGACACGAATTGCCCATAAAGAGCATTCACATAGAAGGAGATAAGCAAACCTACCTTGGTATGAAAATTTGATTTCTCAGATTTGTTTTCAGTTGTAGTGGGCTTATGCTAAAAAAGCTTCTCACACTGTTACTGCTGCATCTGCCACTGAAGGAACTTTGTGTGCTCTGAGAGCCTGTGTGGACACTGGGCTGCAGCAATAATCACATGTTGTGCTGTGTGTAATTCTTACCTCTGCTTAACCACTTTACTACACAGTTTTTTATCTTGCAGCAGAGAAGAAATTAACTTTTTAAGTTAGCTCAGTCTTCATATACACCTTCTTCAGCAGTTTTTTATGTATTTTAACTGTATGCATGGCATTCCTCCCCCTTTCTTTTTCCTACTGTATAAACAAGTTGTAAGAATGCTCTGATCTTTCTTGTTTCTGTGTTTGAGGGACAGAGTCACCTGGGCAGACTCGCTCACGTTTCTTGCAAAACTGGAGCTTAATTATTATTGTGTGCTGTCTTGAATCAAGAGAATATTTAATAAATCAGTACATGCATTTTGTATTGAAGTCTGGACAAAAAGTTTCATTTTTGAGCCACTGATCTGCAAAAAACAAGATTCTTAAATAATTTACAGTAATTATACACTTTAAAACAAATGCAAAATATTTATTGAAGAACTTGGAATTCTTGTGAGAAGACTAGAAGTGAATAGGTGAATTTTTTTTTTTTGTTTTGTTTGTGAATGTTGAAGGAAATGTCTGAATAAATTTCATGGAGGGTTACATGCCAACAGCAATATATGAAACTGGCCAGGGAAATTTGGATATCTAAAATTTGGGGTTTTTTTCATATATTTATCTTAAAAATCTGTGACATACTCTAAAAGAGAGCTTGATGAGCAATTTTAGTAGCCTGTTGCTGGTGCTAGTCACAACAGTGAAAAATAATTTGGCTTTCACGGTTTCATGGTGTTTTTGTGAAAGCTGAACAATATTTTTTTTGTAGTCTAGTTCACCTGTCTCTGGGTTACTCCAGCTGGAAATATCTTGTATTAAGTGGTGCCATTCTCATTTTTAATAATACCTCTAACTTTTCATCTTGCAGATGAACTGGGAAAGCAATTAATGATCACACAGGAGCTTCTGACAGAAGTTATGCCAAACCACTCAGAGGATAGTGCAAAAGCACTTGGTGCACTGAAGGAGATTCAAGAAGTGTCTCAGCAACTGAGTAAAGGGCTTCAAAGGTATCACAACAATTGGGTGGAAAGACTTGTTGACTAAACATTTGGAGGGAAATCTATATCCCTTGCCAGAATATATCCAGAGCTGACTGGAGGAGGGCTGTCTGAGGGTTTGGTAGCACTAAGTGTAATTCTCTTTGTAGCAGCCCGTGCCCTGCCTGCAGTCACAGTGGGGTGTTTGGGGTTGGGTTTGTACTCCAGGTGAACCACCTCAGTGTGCCATTCTCTGACACTTCAGCTGAGAATTTCACTGAGCAAGAACAGACTTGGCAAGTTTAGGTATGTAGGAGTGGAGAAACCCAGGAGACGGAAAAGTGAGCTGCAACTGTCTTAAATAACAACCCTGCAAATGTGTCATCCTTGAGAAGGCACAAGGAGCACAGAGAAGGGTTTTCTCCTCAACTGTTGTGACAACAAATACAAAGCATCCCTGGGAGGATGAGGAAGAGATAAAGCATGACTAATGTCCTTCCCTTCCTTCATTGCCCCAGAAGAGATTGGAGTTAAAATCTTTGAAGATTAATAGACCATTAAGCCACTCATCTCCCCCTCTTGCAAACTGCCCCATCTCTCCTCCTAGTTCTTGCTTTTGAGAAGAAAATTGACATTTTACATTTGTTTTCTTCTGGTGGGGCCATAGTAGGAGAAAAATGCAGATGTGCAGGCATGTAATCTTTGGGCTAAAGCAGAGTTATTGTCCTTCAGTGTCACTGCTTTAGCTTCTTGTGTTCCAGGAGCTTCACAGATGTGCAGAACCTGTCCTTTGAAGCCAGTAAAGAAGTTTCTCTGCATAACCAATACGTGTGTGAAGAGAAGCATGGAGTAGATGTTGTGAAACGCTGGTATTTCAACTGACTTTCTGTATTGTTTTACTGCTGGGTAGGTACTAACTCAAAGCCAGCAGACTTTTTATCCTTTTACTTCTGATGTGGACATACAACTTGCCCAGTTTTTCAGTGAAGTCAGCAGCAGGGCTGCTCACTGATACAGGAATTGGAGAGTTGTTCTGCAGGCTGTCCCACAGGGAGACAGCGCCGCTCGCTTTTAACGGGGATTTCTGTGACAGGTTTTCCATCCCTTTCTGCCCTGACAGTGCTGAAAGGTAAATGATAAAAAGTGCTATTCCTGGCAAATCTGACCTGTGTGGGAGTTACAGCTTGAGCATTGGCTGCTCACTGAACAACTTCTGCAGGAACTCTGATTTGTCCCGTATTTCTGGATGTGCTGGGTGGGTATAAAGCACTTGCTTGGAAGGAGCCTGGTCACTTTAAACAAGTGAGAAGTTTTGGTAACTTCTCATTTCTTCTTCATTGTCTAATTGCCTTGTAAATAAATTATTGAAATTACAAATGCTTTTGTATAAACCTGACTCCTCTTTAAGGATTTTATTGTTTTTATTAATAAAGTCTATTCTCCACTGCTCTGTCAGTAGCCTTCAAGTTTGAATATGTTCACTGATCTCCTACAGCAGCTTTTGTTTCCATCTGGCCTTCCTTAGGGCTCATACTGCACAGTCCAGTGATGCACTTGTACACACCAAGTGGTCCCAGTGCTCAGCCATGAGCACCCCAAGTGCTGAGGCCAAAGGATTGGGAATGGGGAAAGAAACCACAAACCTGATCACTGAGTGCATGTGCTGTGCTAGGAACATCCAAGCCACATCTGGCATGTTTCTTCAACATCCTTTCCTTTTCTCTACATGGAATGCATTTTTCTCTGGAAGACGTGCTGCAGCCTGTATTTTGTAACCTGTGGAACCTCATTCTGTGATGGTTTTTCACACTTGTAGCTTAAGCTGCATCTGTAAGGCTTTTTATCCTACTGAGATACCTGGAGTATTATCCTTGCACTCCTTCAGGTGCTGTTCAGGCTTTATTGCTGGCACTACTAAAGGTCTAACTAGATTCTTGTGTCCTTTTATTAAAACTCAGGAGTAAATTAAGTAACTGGATCAGTAGATGTGCCACACCCATAAAACAAACTGTTCAGACCCTCCTTGCATACAATCTGGCTGTCATTTTTTTAGCAGTAGCTTCTCTGTGAACCAGTGTTATTTCAGGATATCCATCTGTTATTTCTTTTTCCTCACGATCTGCACCTGGCAGTTCACCTGTGTGGCTGCAGTCCAGCACATCAGCAGTGTGGGTGGGTGCAGCTGCATCAAGCTTGGGCAGGAGCATGAGCTGCATCCATGAATTTGGCCACTGGATGGGGAACTTTGCCCACCAAAATCAGCTCGGCTGAAAATATTTGGGCTGGTTAGTTCTGCTGGATTGAGATGTGGGTAGAAAGGCTCCAACATGATGAAACTGGTCTGGATTATTGCTGAGCTGTGTGTTCTCACACCTTTAACCTGTTTATGATCAGTGTGTCAATTCCAAGACTGAAAGCTGGGAAGGGTCCTCTTAAATATGAGAGAGGATGGATGAAATTGAAATCAATATTGTAGTGTCTTGATTATAATGTCTCTGCACAGGCATATCAGAATGTCTTTCCTAGGATTCCTTAATGGTACACCTCACTGATGGTCTGAAAAAGTATTTTTCTTTTAAGAAATACCTTTAAATTAAACCCATCCTTTGCAGTCAAGCGACTTTCTGCCCTTGAGATACTATTGGATGTGTGTACCTACACCCAAACGTTACTTAAGCAACAGCCAGCAACGCAAATTTTCCCTCTGCAAAGCAGAGGAATGTTGCTGGTTCTCCCCCCGGGGAGGTGCTTGCTGTGAGCACAATTAAAGGCTGTAAATCTTGCGGGGGCAGCAGTTCAGCCCCGCTGCTGCAGGCGGCACTCGCTGCACTCCTCATCCTCCCACGAGGCAAAGGGGAGTCCTGGGGCTGAAGCCAAACTGCTGCTACACAACAATTCTGTGCCCGGGGATGTGCACTCATTGTTTCAGAAGAATCAGAGGCATGAATTTCAGCATTCTGGCCATTCTTTAAACTGAACACTTGTGTAATTCTTTGTACGAATGGTACAACAAGTGTTAGCTAAAGCAGCTCGGCCTCTCCAGGAAAGGGTTTTAAACTAGTTTGAACTGAGACTTTTTCTTCTTGATTTTCACGAATGTTCTTTCTAAGTGGCCCTGTTTTGGCTCTTTGCAGAAGTGTTTCAGGCTCCTCCACCTTGAAATATTGCAGAATATTCCACAGAATTGGCTGCTGTCATTTAGCACTGTACAAACAACAACAAAGAACTGCAGAATCACTGGAGCAGGAGCTAAACAGATGTGACACCACTTATTTTGTGTTTTCCACTTATTTTCTGACAATGTCACATGCTCTAAATCGGTTGGAATCCTAAACAAATTAAGGGCTCTTTTTATTCAGGTTATGTGTCTTTTTTTTTTCCCCTGTGGAATTAATAATGTTCTCCCTACTGTAACTTCTATCAATGTAGATTTTGTTTTGTTTTGTTTGAACTTGTGCAGTACTTATTACCTATTTATTCATCTTTTAGGCCAGAAGTTCTTCTTGACCAGTTGTTAACATTCCTGTGTGTTAAGGTGCTTTTTTGGGGGAAGGGATTTTTTTTTATTTCCTCCAAAAACTGAAAGCATTTGTGAATTGAGCCAGGTGGGTGACAGCCTGAGAGGAAGGGGGAGCCAAGAAATGAAAGTATTCATCCCTTGCAAAACCCTTGGTTGTTTAAGAAGAGATTGGCAAAGCTTTTGGGCTGGGTTTGCCCTGCAGCTTGTCCTGCCTGGGTGCTGTGGTCACATTCTCCTCAGTGCCAGACCCTGACCACGAGCTCGGGAGGGCTGAGTCAAGGCATTTTTGGCTGTAATTCCTGTGCTCCCTGCAATGGGGGCTCTGCGGTCAAGGTGAGGCAGGGTCCCTCCTGCCCGGGGTGGAGCTGCAGCTCTGGAAACCCCTGAGGTTCCTTTGTCCCCTCTCCACACCCCAAATCCTCAACTCTTTGTTCACATGAGCTGCAAACGGAGCTGAGCCTGTGCTCATCAACAGCAAAGCAGCTCATGACCCCAGCAGATGTTTTTGCATTTTAGGCTAATGAGAACTTATTGGATTACTGCAGTCTTCCCTGCCTCGGAGTAAATACCACTTTGTTGGAGATCCGGAAATTCATCCTGAATATGATAAACAAACTGCTGGCTGGGCTGGGATTGCCAGGACATGAAAAGAGCTCCAGAGCGGCAGAAGATCTAACAGCTCTGAAATGCACCACTGAGCCACACCAATTAAGAGCATTTCCAGTGATTATGTGAGCATTCCTGTTCAACTCACAGAAATTATTTTAGGTTGTTTCTTCCGCTGCATTTGTGTGTGGTCTGTACAGCAAGCACGAGGTTTGCAGAGTGGGCTCAAATGCCTCTGATCAGTTTCTTTTTAAAATATTTCTGTGATAATGTATATGCAAAAACTTGAGTTTCCTGCTAATTTAAGATCTTAAATTTTCTATGTTATGGTTGCCCCTTCAGATGTAACTAATTTTTTAATTTATATAGACAATGTATGTTTGGAGATTGCCTGTAGGATATAAAAACTTTATTCCTTTGTTTAGTATCTCTTATAAAAACTTTATTCCTTTGTTTAGTATCTCTTGCATATGGGAGGTGGCTCTACTGTTCAGTCAGACTACACACAAATTGTATTTCACCAGTCATGTAGGAGCTGAGAAGAGAATTGGGAAATTATTTCTGACTAAACATTTGAATGACAGTCCCTTCTGATAAGCACAGTGCTCTTCCTTCTAAATCACTCAAAATCCTCCATTTGAATGCTTTGCTAGTATTATTTCCTTCACTTTGTCAGGAATTAAAATGTTATATTACTGTGAAAGATCAGACTCTCCTGCTCTATAGATGAATAATAACCATTTTTGACAGAACTATTTAATAATTATGTTCTCAATATCATTATCCTGTTATATGCTACTTAGATTACAGTCTTAGTTGAAGAGTGCTCTTTAATTATCCTTTCCTTATAATTTTTTCTAGAGATGTTTGTATTCCTGTGGGGGCAGGATCAGTCTGGTTTCTGCCACTCTGTCTGAACTGATGTAGTCTCTGTAAAACCATTTTCCTCGGTGCTGGGGAGGTGCAGGAGTGTGGCAAAGCCTGGGACACTTTGCAGTTATCAGTTTCTGCTTTTGCTATCTCTGTTTGTCTGTCACAGAAACACGAAGGGAGAACAAAACTCAGAGTTAAAGAATAGGTGTGGCTTTTTTACCTTGAATATAATGCTGTAAAAATTAACTAAGGCCTTGTTCTTGTCTGGTGCTGTGTAATGAGTGAGATTAATGTTTTTCCATTGGGAAAGGGGGAGAAATTATTCTGGAAATTGATGACTTTTTTATTTTTCACCCAACTTCTACTGAAATCTAGTGTGTGCAGGACTTAACACAAAACTCAATGATTAATACCCTTGGGTTTAGTACAGTATCTTTTATGCACCATTTACCTGTATTAAAATCTTGAAGCAAGTGAGAATTACCTTTTAGACCTTTGGATCTGATCATCTGAGTGACAAGTTAGTGACACCACTCATGCTGAGGCAGTTAGGAAGGGCTGATCATTGATGGCATGGTCCTACCACTGTTTCCTGTGAGTTGTCTGACTGAGTTCAATCTGGCAGTTGAGGTGGGGGGGAAAAGCAGAAGGATTCCCAGCTGTGAGTGGCAGTACTTGGAAATTATTATTTTTTGCTTGACAAATCCCTGTCTGATAATTTTCACGTTGTGCAGCTTTTTTATGAGGTATTTGGGACATGGGGGAGGATTCCTTCTCCTGCAGAGTTAATGATGAGAAGTGACCAGGGTGTGAATTAGAACCAATACAGATGTATTCACACCTTGTTCCCTAAACCCCTGTCCCTCCCTCACCTTTCTGCCACCAGCATGGCCAACACCAATCCCCCAAATGCTCTCAAGTGCCTGAGATTCCTGAGACTTTATGAGGAGCAGAATTACGTTTTCTGTAAACGAAATAAAAATCTGAGCTATGCACAGTGCAAGCGGGTGGGTGAATATGGCCCATAGATCTGACTGATGAATAGTTTTTATACATGAGCAGTTCTTACAGAACTTCCTTTTAACTCCTAACCATTACCAGATGTGGGTTGCAGGCGGCTGCTGGAATTCCAACACCTGTTGCATCACACTGAATGGGATTCATTTTGGCAAGCACAGAAAATTCCATTTCAGTAAGTAAATAGTTTGAAATTATGTCTAAAGCCTCCTTTTTTTTTTTTTTTTTTTTTTCAGACCAAGTTGATTCCAGCCTTATTTACAGGATTGCACATACCTTCATAATTAGAAGATGGTTTGCAGTCTTCAGAGGTTGTAATTGCCTGAGATTTCTTGTAGTCAGTAAATATCAAATGGAAAATCTTCAGTTTAGGAGAAATCTCCCCTTTAAAAGAATGAGCAATTCAAAAGGGTTGTATTCCACATAAGGG